TTAGAGTGCAATGCCCCAGGCAATATCCTGATGAGTCAGATATCCCAGGCTTGTTTACTAGCTTTGGGGAAAGAAAAATCCCCAGTGCTTCAGGCAGGACTCTCACCTCCCCCTGCCTTTATCCCACGGAATCAACTGGGGTAGTTTCTTTAACTTTTCCCTCGTCTGGGTTAACTATTAATTTACCGACACCCAAATCCAATCCCCTGAATACCCTCGCATGTTCAGCTGTTGCCCATGACAGCTTCCGGAGACTGAGGGTGGAGAGCGCGGCTAGATATTCTGTGGAGGAGATCGCAAACTTCCTCTGTTGACTCCAAGGAATAGCATTGAGGTTCAAGGGAAGGAAGTTGATCTGAAGAACAACCCCTTCCTTTATGATTTGTTGTTGTTGTTGACTTGTTCTTTTTTAAACTTTGATTATTAAGAAAGTAAGAGCTTTGATTTTGGGGGCGGGGGGGAGCGTTTGGGTGGCTCAGTCGGTTCAGCGGCTGCCTTTGGCTCAGATCATGATCTCAGAATAGGGATTGAACCCCATGTGGGGCTCCCTGCTCAGTGGGGAGACTGCTTCTCCCTCTCCTCCCGTTCCTGCTCTCTCCTCTCGCTATCTCTGTCTCTCTTTGTCAAATAAATTTTTTAAAAAATCTAAAAAAATAAAAGAAAGTAAGAGCTTTGTTTTTTTAAAGATTATTTCTTTATTTGAGAAAGAGAGGGTGGGGTGAGGAGCAGAGGGAGAGAGACAAGCAGACTCTTCGCTCAGCACCCAGCCTTTTGAGGGTCCCGATACCAGGATCCTGAGATAATGACCTTAGCTGAAACGAAGAGTGGGGCACTCAGCCGGCTGAGCCACTCAGATGCCCCAGCTTGCTTTCTATCTTACTTTTTTTAAGATTTATGTATTCATTTCAGAAAGAGAGACACACACACAGAGAGAGTGAGTGCTCCAGCAGGGGCTGGGGTGGGGGGCAGAGGGAGAGGGAGAAGCAGACTCTCTGCTGAGTGGGGAGCCCCACACAGGGCTCAATCCCATGACTCTGAGATCATGAAGACAAGGTGCTTAACTGACTGAACCACCCAGGTGCCCAGAAAATAATAGCTTTCTTAAAGAGGTCTTTAATAGAGACACATTGGCTAAATAGTTCCACTTCTTGCAGTTTCCATTTTCTTGCCCTGAAACTGAGAAACAGGTATTTCTTTTTTTTTTAATATTAAAATGATAATTATTTTTTTAATTTTATTTTTTATAAACATATAATATATTTTTATCCCCAGGGGTACAGGTCTGTGAATCGCCAGGTTTACACACTTCACAGCACTCACCATAGCACATCCTCTCCCCAATGTCCATAACCCCACCCCCCTCCCCCCATCAACCCTCTGTTTTGTGAAATTAAGAGTCACTTATGGTTTGTCTCCCTCCCAATCCCATCTGAAACAGGTATTTCAAACCCAGATTTCCTCTTTGCGCCTAGATCTCCACTGCCCTTCCCCTGCAACACAGTTCCTACATCCTGGGAGGAAAGGCTGGACCTATGTTGAATGAGGATTAATTAGTAACTCACCTGTTTTGCCAAAACAAACAAACAAACAAAACCAAAAAAAAAAAACAAAACAAAACAAAAAAACCACCCACGTGTCCCAGAGGGTGAATAGGGGCTGTGCTTTCACAACCACCCTCACAGTTCTTCACCTGTAGATTCTGGGGCAAGAGCTATACTAAAAATGTTTGAATTCTCACTTCTCCCATTTTTTTAATAAATGGCTTTACCTTTGTCCATATTCCAAACAAGGAGGTTTCATTAGACCTCACTGCTCCCTGTGTATCTTGTTGGGCATGTCTTGATACCCTGAGCCGTGCCCTAAGACCAGCCAGGCTGGGTCACTGGAACATCCCTGAGGACCAAGAATGTGAGTTTATAGTTCAGTGTTAAATACACTGACTCTGTGGTCAGACAGCCAGGCTTGGAATCCCAGCTCTACCACTGAGGTTTTAATACTTGGGCAAATTTCTGCACCTCAGATTTCTGGGTTCCTGATTTGTAACATGGAGATAATGGTAGTACTTGTCTGTGACTCAGAGCCACATCTGTTAAGAATAGTCCTGATTTTTATGTTCTTCATCAGTGCCTCTGCATTCAGAAGACTCAGACCACTGAAGCCTGGCTCCTTAGCAAATCCCATCATTCTAAGGGAGGTACTTTGGATGAAGGTTCCAAGCAAAGAGGGGCAATAATGGTTCTGCAAGGATCCCCAACTCACACCTTGATTCAACAAATACCTATCATTTGTCTACCAAATGTCAGGGCTGGTACAAAGCCCAGGGACACACACATGACCATTGCACCATCCCTCAAGTACTCTGGTAGGAGGGGGGAGGCAAACACAGATGCAGACTACAGTCCATAGGGAAGAGGACTCGCAGAGGAGAAACTAAAGACTTGGGGGAGCTGTGGAGAAAGGAACAGCTAGCTCTGTATTAGAGAGGACGTGGGGCTGTTTTTTACAGGGTTGACCGTGACGTTGGGAAGACAAGTACAAAAAAACTGGGTGGGCAGCTGTAACTGTCTGGGCAGATATTTTGCCTGGAGACTTGTCTTACCTTCTCCACCAGGGGAAATATGTAGGTGTTAGAAGCAGCCTGTCCCATGACAAAGGAGATAAAAGACTCAGACTCTATACCCAGCCAGTGCATGGTGCTCTGAGCAGTTGCTCAGTAAATGGCTGTCCCAGTGCTGGATGGATGCTGGGCCTGGAGAGAGGTGGGGGCAGGACAATGGTCTGCAGATATTTAACTAGGTGATCTGTGGAAGAGATTAAATGCAATTTTTTAATTTTATTTTTAAAGATTTTATTAATTATTTATTTGACAGAGATCACAAGTAGGCAGAGAGGCAGGCAGAGAGAGAGAGAGAAAGGGAAGCAGGCTCCCTGCTGAGCAGAGAGCCCGATGTGGGGCTCGATTCCAGAACCCTGAGATCACGACCTGAGCCGAAGGCAGAGGCTTTAACCCACTGAGCCACCCAGGTGGAAGGCACAGTCTTTAACCCACTGAGCCACCCAGGCGCTCCTAAAGACAATTAAAAAAATTATTTATTTGACAGAGAGAGAGAGCACAAGCAGGAGAAGTGGCAGGCAGAGGGGGAAGCAGGCTCCACACTGAGCAGGGAACCTGCTGTGGGGACTCGTTTCCAGGACCTTGGGATCACGACCTGAGCCGAAGGCAGATGTTTAACTGACTGAGCCACCCAGGAGTCCCAGATTAAAGGTGATTAACTCCAAGAGGTGGACTTAAATTCTAGGAAAGAAAGTTGGTTTGAAAGTGCCAAATCCTAACCACAGACTACCAGAGGAAGTTGATTTGAGAACAGTTCCCTTTCTTGGATTTGTTCTTACTTATATATTTCCCTAAATAATAGCTTTCTAAAAATTAGAGACCTCCAATAAAAATTCCTTTTTTTTTTTTTAAAGATTTTACTTTATTTATTTGAGAGAGAGAGAGAGAGCACAAGCAGGGGGAGTGGAAGAGGGAGAAGTAGGCTCCTTGCTAGCAGGGAGCCTGATGTGGGGCTCCATCCCAGGACCTGAGCCGAAGAGAAATGCTTAATGGTCTGAGCCACCCAGGCACCCCCTCCAATAAAAATGCTTAACTGCTACCAGGACTCCACTCTCTTGGAGCTGTGAATGGGATTTGGGGAGGACAACATCAAACAATACACTGTAACTTCACGACAGTAAAAATGGTTATGAAGTGTATGGTGCTATAGGCTCTTATGACAGGGACAGAGGTCCAGTAGTTCTGAGTAGGGGACATTGGAATTGAGATCTTGAGGGACAGAGGTCCAGTAGTTTTGAGTAGGGGACAATTGGAATTGAGATCTTGAGGGACAGAGGCCCAGTAGTTCTGAGTAGGGGACATTGGAATTGAGATCTTGAGGGCGGTGTTAATTAAGGGAAGGGTGCTGGTTTGGGGGAGGGGGAGGTGTTCAGGCAGAGATAGGGCTCTGTAGGCAGGGCAACAGCCTGGCCAAAAGCCTGGAGGAGGAAAAAAGGAGGGCTTGTTTTAGGGAACAAAGAAGATCCCAGGAGAGATGAATTAGGCGAGGTGCCCCTCCAGTGAAGACTGGAGAGGTACGCAGTGATTAGACCATGTAAAGTTTACTTCGCCACAATTCAGATTTCGAAGGTAAGGAACATGGTTTTTTAATTCACCAGTGTTTCCCCAGTACGTAGTAGTTAGTGGTGCTCCAAATCTGGTTTAAGGATTACTTTATCCCCAAAATAATGTGATTCACTTTTACGCAGAACAGTGAAATAATTATATTTGTCTCATTTTCTTCATACGCGCATAATGGGGATAATTGTCGTGGAGAACATTCAGTAAGGTGATGCCAATCCAGTGTTCATCAGTGGGAGCTGAGGTTTTGGTGAAATATTCCTAAAACTCGGGATAGTTTTGAATGTCCGTCTAGAGTGTGTTAGGTTGGGCGCCTGGGTGGCTCAGTGGGTTAGGGATTCTGCCTTCAGCTTGGGTCGTGGTCCCGGGGTCCTGGGATCAAGCCCCGCGTCGGGCTCTCTGCTCCGCGGGGAGCCTGCTTCCTCCTCTCTCTCTGCCTGCCTCTCGGCCTACTTGTGATCTCTGTCAAATAGATAAATAAAATCTAAAAAAAAAATCTTTAGAGTGTGTTAGGTTTGGGGAGGTTGTATTTGTTGAGCGGAAGGTGACGCACTGCACTCCGGTTGGAGGTTGAATTTCTTTCCTGGAATTGGGAAAGAGAACTGGGAGGGAGTAAAACCAACCGCAGGCGGAGCGCATGCTGCTGAGTCTTGCCTAAGCTCTTCGCTGCCCAAGTCCTACCCCGCCTCTAGCTTTCGCCCCGCCCCTCCCTGCCCCTTGCCCCACCCCATCTACTCTCTCTTCGCCCCGCCTCTCCTTTGGTCGGCCCGCCACCATTTTGCACTGTGCTCCGCCCACTCACTCCTCCTCTTCCGCCCTGCGCTGCCGCTGTGTCTTCTAGGTTTGGGGGTGGTATCCTGTTTCTGGGCTCCCTGCGAATTTTCTCCAGCTCAGCCATGTGGAGAGGACGGCAGGGCCGCCTCAGGCCGGTGGGCTGCGTAGTGGAGGAGCTACGGTGCCGGCGCCGGGAGCGGGAGGCAGGTGCGGGAGGGCAAGGAAGACGGGAAGATACCGGCGGGGGTACCGTAGCTCCTCCACTACGGAGGAGTGCTGTGGTATGGCGGGTGGTATGGCAATCGGGGATAGATGAGGAGGCCCCCGGGTGGCAGACGGGGGTCCTAGATGTCCCTCCTACGTTCAGCCGGCTCCTTTGCCCTCAGCATTACGGAAGGCGCGGAGGGAGCAGCAGCTGGTCAGTAAGAGGCTGCTGAGAGACGACCTCCTGGAGGAAGCCGAAGGGGAATGTGTGGCCATGATCCTCGGGGAAGCTGAGGTGAGGGGACCGGGTGCTTGGTGAGTTCTGCCCCCACTGGCGCCAAATTCCTTTTGAGCTCGTCCCCAAACCTGAACGCGGCCCCTTCAGTACCTCCATCCATCCAGTGGGCCACGCCAGAAACTGGGAAATCATCCTCGAGAACTGTGTCCCTCATCCCCACATCAGTACATCAAGCCCTGGGCGTTTTTCATCTCTTAAAGAGCTCTGGCGTCTTCAAGGTGGTCAGCATCGCAGCTACTACCATCCTCTTCTCTGTATACACACAGTAGCCTTCTAACAGATCATTTGCATCTGTGCTTGCCGCCTTGAAGTTCATTCTCCATACATCAGTCAGATGTGTCTCTCACAAATCCAAAATTTGGGGCGCCTGCGTGGCTTAGTGGGTTAAGTGTCTCGGACTGGAGTTCCGCTCAGGTCATGAGCTCTTGGTGGTGAGATTGAGCGCCCCCGCCCAACTCTTGGGCTCTGTGCTCAGCATGGAGTCTGCCTGAGATTCTCTGTCCCTCCCCTTCTGTCGCTCTTCTGTGCGAGCTTTCTCTCTTTGTCTCTCAAATAAATACATCTTTGGGGCATCTGGATGGCCTAGTCCGTTAGAGGTCTGCATTTAGCTGGGGTCATGATCCTAGGACGTATTTGGTTTCCTGCTCAGCAGGGAGCCTGCTTTTCCCTATCACTCTGCTACACCCCCTTCTTCTTTTTTTTTTTTTTTTTAAGATTTTATTTATCCATTTGACACAGAGAGAGAGAGAGAGAGAGATCACAAGGAGGCAGAGAGGCAGGCAGAGAGAGAGGAGGAAGCAGGCTCCCCGCTGAGCAGAGAGCCCGATGCGGGGCTCGATCCTAGGACCCCGGGACCATGACCTGAGCCGAAGGCAGAGGCTTTAACCCACGGAGCCACCCAGGTGCCCCTGCTACACCCCCTTCTTGTGCTCTCTCTGAAATAAATAAAATCTTAAAAAGAAGATCTTTAAAAAAATAAAAATTATAAATCCTTCCTTCCTAGATGAATGGTCTAACGTTTGCCTAGCTCCAACCTTGCCAGTTTACTCATCTTAGCCAAAATTCTCCCTTTTCAGTTTTTGAAAGAATATGCTAGGGTCTTTCTTGTTGCAAGGCCTTTACATTTGCTACATCTAAAAATGGGTCCTTTTTAGTATTCTGTCTTGACAGCCTGTTTGCAGAATATTAATCATACTAATGGTTTGTTTATTGTTTCTCCAACTAGACTTTAAATCCTTGGGAACCTAGACCCTGTCTTATTTGTTGTCATTGAAAACTCAGATGCCCTATAGTATCTGGCATATAGTAGATGGTAATTATTTATTGACTAAGTGAATGAAATGGTTAGTTTTAGCTGATTTATTCATTTAAGCATTGGGCATCCCCTTTGTTTATATTGTCTATGTTTATATATGTTGTTTACAAAAGCACTCATGTCTAGGTTATACCATTGGTTTGTTGGTTCATTGTGTGCTTACTTCATGCCAAGACACTGTGCTGGGGACTGAAGTGCACAAAGATGAGGAGAGTCCTTTTCTTTGTGGTACTTGCAGCAGCCCAGAGAAGAAGACAGGCTGTTACCACCTGTCATGAAGGAAACATGAGGCACAATAGAAACCCTTAAGTCTGTGAAAGGAAGCTAGAAAGAGGGACAGAAATCTGAAGGGAGTGGAGGACCTGGGGATGATATCCCAGGCAGAAGGAATAGATCATGCAAAAGCTTGGAAACATTAAAAAACAAGTCATGTTATGCTGGGTGCTGTTGGAGTATAGGTTGCATGGGGAGAATGGCTAGAGGGATAAGTTGTGCCAGACTGAAAGATTTAAATGTTATCCTTGAAATAACTCTGTAAGAAGGCAGGAAATACGTTATTCCCATTTTTCAGGTGAAAAATTGAGGTTTAGGTTCCTTATAAAGTAAATGACAGGGCTGGTATTAAACCCAGTTCTGATTACTCCTTTTGTCTACTCTACTGCAAGATTGATGCTTATTAGCCACATTAGCCTGAATGACAAGTTCTAGGGATGCTGCGGCATTAGAGTGCTCACAGGTGAGGTGGACAGAGTAGGATTCATGCTTGCTTTCTGGCAACTTTGTTTCCATCACTCCTCTTCCTACCGTGCACTCCAGATCCAGCAGTTCCTCCAGTTAGCACAGCGGGGGACAGATGAAAAGCAGAGAGAGCGAGCTCTGGTCAGCCTTCGTCGAGGCTTGCAGCACCCTCAGACGCAGCAAACCTTCATCTGGTCAGTATGGGTGGTGAGTGGGGCCCCCGGCCTCTGAGGGATGGACAGGAGTGTGGAGGGGATGGGGCACAGGCTGAGCAGGGCTCTGGTACTCACTCATGTAGGCTGGAGGGCAGCATGCGGACCCTGGTTGGGCTTCTGACCAGCAACCGAGCCCTGTTGCAGCTAGAGGCCGCTCGGTGCCTTCATGAGCTCTCTCATTCCGAGCAGTCTGCGGTGGCTGAGGCCTGCCTGCCAGCCACTTCCTACCTTCTCACCTACCTCTCCGGTCACAGCTCAGACTTTATAGTAAGCCCTCTCCCTTCCTACCTTGTTCTTGACTTGGATTTAAATATTGTGCTTTTGGGTTTAGTTTGAGCTGGCACATAGGGGGAAGAAGAAAATTTGTTTCCCCTGATGTCCATAGCCATATATATGCCCATCACCTTCCACTCCCTTTTACCCAGAGCCTCAAAGGGAAGACTTCATCCTCTGCTCTCCCACCCCCACCCTAGCCTGAGACAGGCCATGCCCCGTGCTTTTGTTGTCCCACTCTCAGGAGCTCTGTCTGTATACACTGGGTAACCTGATTGTGGAGAGTGAGGCTGTGAGAAGGCGGCTCCTGCCACAGGGCATTGTTCCTGCTTTGGCTGCCTGCATCCAGGTGAGCATCCATCTGCTTTTTCCCTCCTTGGGCAGCCTTCCCCTGTCTTGTCCCTACATGGCCCCCTGCTTTGTTTAGGCAGCTCCAGCCTCTGCCCTGTGCTAAGGGATTGAAAGTCACAGGAAATCTTATGACCCAGCTTCCAGAGTCAGATCTCTACCCTGTCTACTTCTAGTCTCCCCATCTGACTGTGCTGGAAGCCCTTGGATATGCCTTGTCCCAGCTTCTGCAAGCTAAGGAAGCTCCAGAGATGATCATCCCGTAAGTAAAATTTTATTTCCAGATGTGGAGGCACGTGTGACCTACTTGGTGATGTAGTCCCGGGACACCAGATTGAGTCTTGTTTCTGAAACCGGTGCACATTTTAGCTCTGTGTCTGGCTGGGAAGAGGTTTGGATTTGGATACTTTCCCACCTGCTGTTAGGGTTTGGGAAGAATGACTGGCATCTTGCCTTCTGTGGTTCCAACTCAAAACTCCTGTTGGCAGTTCCGTCTTAGGCTCCACTCTCCCCCAGCATATCCTACAACTGTTGCAACCTGGACCAAAGCTAAACCCTGGGGTTGCTGTGGAGTTTGCCTGGTGCCTGCACTACATCATCTGCAGGTAACACAGACCATTTGCAAAAGTGCCACAGACTTGCCCTGGGGCTCCTTTCCAGACCCTCGGGTTTTTGAACTTTGGTTTCTAGAATTGCAGTGAGTTTTCTTCCTCCTGTGGTCTTCTCTGCTTGGACCCCAGGAAACCCATCACTCTAGGCCATTTGCCATCCTCAAGGTGGGATTGACTGAGTACTTGCTTTTTATTGCCTAGCCAGGTCAACAATGCCCTGCTTATCTCCCAAGGGGGTCTATCCACTCTGGGGCTGCTGCTATTGGACGTGGCTGGGGCTGTCCAGAGAACTGAGGATGCAGGACTGGAGTTGGTAGGTGAAGAGGACAGGTCAAGATCTGGGCTACCTTTCTTCCTACTTTGCTACCTACTATGTAGGTAACCCCTTCCCCCTTACGCTGTACTCCTAACTTGTCTTTGCAGCTGGTATGCCCTGTACTTCGGTGTCTAAGCAACTTGCTAACAGAAGCAGCAGTGGAGGTTGTGGGAGGGCCAAATCAGCTTGAAGATGAGCGTGTGGTGGTGGCCTTATATATCCTTCTGCAGTTCTTCGTCCAGAAACAGCCCAGCCTGCTTCCTGAGTGCCTTTGGCTCCTCAACAACCTTACTGGTATGTACTGTAATGTGCCTCGGCCTAGACCTTTAGATTCTGGGAATGCTTCCTCATTGCCTGGGCTGAGGTGGGTAGGACTGGAGGCGGGTTGCAGATTCAGGTCCCTGTTTGAGGGACTTTACCTTGACATTTTCCCTTCCAGCAAATAGTCCTAGTTTCTGTACCTCCTTGCTCTCCATGGATCTGATCAAGCCACTTTTGCAGTTGTTGCCGGTTTCTAATGTGGTGAGCGTATTGGTAGGTATTGGGGTCACTTAAGTCCTGGATCTTATGGCCAAAGTAAAAACACTGGGAGCAGACCTTTGCACTTATAAGTACCCTTACCTGAGGACTGGCAGGTGGTGTGGTGTGGAGGGCTTCAGGGCCAAACCAGTCAGGTGTGAATCCCTAACCTGTTTTTTTTAGATTTTTATTTATTTACTTGACAGACAAAGATCACAAGTAGGCAGAGAGGCAGGCAGAGAGAGAGGAAGGGAAGCAGGCTCCCCGCTGAGCAGAGAGCCCAACGTGGGGCTCTATCACAGGACTCTGGGATCATGACCTGAGCAGAAGACAGAGGCTTTAACCCACTGAGCCACCTAGGTGCCCCTCCCTAACCTGTTTTACTAGTTACTAACCTTGGGCAGATCAGCTTACCACCTTGAACTTTAGTTTTCTTGTGTGTAATGTGAGAATAGCAGTGCTACCTGAGGCAGTTGTGAGGATTACAAAACGTGCGTGTGCTTGGCATGGTGCCTGACCACATGATCAGCACTCCATATATTTTAGCTCTATGATTAGTCTTTAGTTTTCATCCTTTGAAGGATGAAAGTGGGGACTGTGTATACATGTCTCTCTGTAGGTGCTCACAGTTCTGTGCAACGTGGCAGAGAAGGGTCCTGCTTATTGCCAACATCTATGGCCAGGGCCCTTGCTCCCCTGCTTGATGGGCACACTGGCCTCCTCTGACACTGAAGTAGTAGGCCAGAGTTTAGAGCTCCTGCATCTGCTGTTCCTCTATCGGCCAGAGGTGAGTTTTGGCCCTGGTACCCCTATTCTGAGGCCTGTAGTCTCACCATGGCCCCTTTCCCTTTCCATCCTATCTATAGCCACTTTTCTGGGCCTGGCAAGCCTATGTGGACTCCAGTTCAGAACTTGCAGCCTCTGGTTGGGAAGGCACTCTTCCAAATAGAGGTGGGCTAACCTGTAAGGCTGTGGGAATCTAATGTTGGGGCACAGGAACTCGGGTGATGAATCCTTTTCCCTGCCCTCAGGCTGTGGAGGCATTTCTGCAGCATTCAGGGCTTCAGGTCCTAGAAAAGCATCAGGAAGAGGCACAGCTCCAGGATCGTGTGCATGCTCTCCAGAAGACCGCTCTTCACAGGTGACCTGGCTTCTCGATATCACTCATTCAACTCATCGCCTCCCCCCCTCCTCTCAATTTCCTTGCCCCTGGATCCCCTTTTGAGGATTTAGAACCATAATGACATCTCATATTCTCTGCTCCTGTGTCCAGGACAGAATAAAAAGTTTTATTTTTATAGTAAACTGCTTTGCCTCAGTGGTTGCGTGGTAAGGGGTAGAGGGTAAAATGAGGGTAAGAACATGCAGAGATGGCATTTTCAGCACAAGCTTTATACAGAACAGAACACTTTTTTCACATTGTACTCAGTACAACAGAGCCCAAACTGTGGGGCTGTTGCTCTTAATCAGTGGAGGCTTCAGGCTTTGCCATTTAGCACATTCTCCACGGCTCTGGTTACCTGATCAGCACTGAAGTTGTTCAAAGAGACATTCTTCTCTTGGCCAAATGCTGGGGAGAGAGAATAGGGGCTAAATATCTAGTATACACTGTGGGACTACCAAAATATTAATAAAAGTCTTTGTCTTCAACTTACAGTCTTGTTAGGGTGAGAAAAGTATTATAGAGATATGACCAAGGTGTATTTGGGATGTCTAGAGTTTATCCAGGGGGTCTCACACATCTAGGAAGCCCAGGTCCAACTAGAATTTTGGCTGATTCTGGGTGGCCCACCATGGGAAGGAAGATATTTCAAGGCAGTTTTTAGGGGCCTGGTAAGGTATTTATTATTAGCCACAACAGTGCTTTGCCTGGGCCTAGCCTTGACTGGATGCCAATTCTGTGCCAGTCCTAGTATAAAACACTAAAGTAATTTGCATCCATCTCCCCTAGTCTACGGGCTTTTTCCTCCTCCAAACAATTTTTAACATATATTGCAGTTATCCACTGTTAGAACCAGTTAACCTTATTGTTAACCTTATTATTAGAACCACTGTTAGAACCAGTTAACCTTATTATTAACCTTATGACTTATTTTCTCGCGGCCCCGACATTCCTAGAGGAAGGCCTACTATGTGTCTCGCGGCCCCGACATTCCTAGAGGAAGGCCTACATTCCTAGAGGAAGGCCTACTATTATTCCCTTAATAAGGGAATGCCTTATTAAGGAGATGATAAATAATTTCAGACCTGAATAATAACATGAATTCTAACGAGCTAGCCATGAAAATCTGGTAGAAGTTCATCCTAGAAAGGGGGGACAGGTGTAAAGGCTAAACGCTATTGTATCCTAGCTATGTAATCTTAGGTATGTTTCATAATTTTTTTTTTTTAATTTTTTTTTAAATTTATTTGTCAGAGAGGGAGAGAGAGCGAGCACAGGCAGACAGAATGGCAGGCAGAGGCAGAGGGAGAAGCAGGCTCCCCGCCAAGCAAGGAGCCCGATGTGGGACTCGATCCCAGGATGCTGGGATCATGACCTGAGCCGAAGGCAGCTGCTTAACCAAATGAGCCACCCAGGCGTCCCATGTTTCATAAATTTTTTTTTGGTAAGCTCTATGCCCAACATGGGGCTTAGCTTAACTCCTGACCCAGAGATCAAGAGTCCTATGCTCTACTTACTGAACCAGCACCTGCCCCTGTTTGGTAAAATTTTTGACTCACCGTTCTAACCTCTACAGTAAGAAAAGAAGAATCCACCCCCTCATATAATTAATGAAGATTAAATGAGATTTAGACAAGGAAGTACTCAACGCAGACCTTAACATTAACCTTAACATCAATAGAGCATATGCTTGTATTACTGAGATTCTCACACTACCTGAAACGGCACTGACCACACGTCATGTGTAAGGACCCACTTCGATGGGCATTAATGAGCATCGCTTTCCAATATGAACCCCGTTTCGAATTACGAAACCAACAACTCCTGGTCCCTATGCAGGACAGGGCCCGCCTCCATATTGGTATTACTCGAGACACGAGCATTCTACAACCCCACGAATGTAGGTTTATCTGGAACAACATCAAAAGCAAGGCCGAAGTCCGAGTTCCAGGATCCCTACAGGTTTCTGTGTGACCCTGGATGACCTTCTCTTCTCCAACCCTTGTTCTCCTATCGGGGTCCCAAACTGCCCGCTTCCCCACTCACCGTAGCGGGCCCATAGTTTGGGCTGCACATCAGAACACTCGCGGATTAGGATGGGCAGACCGGGATTCGCCTTCTTCAGCTCCACATAGTGTTTCTCGATGAATTCCCTATTGAGGGGGAGAGAAAGCCGTGCGTGCTGTCTACGTGCGGGACTCCCCAAACATCCGGGAGCTAGAGGTCATGACCTGGGCGCCCCGAAGCCTACCGGCTCACCATCTTGCACCTCACCTGACGCCCTGGCTTCCGGGTGAGCGCTGGCACAAGTGGAGGCGAATCTCACGGAGGCCAAGTTTGGCCCCAATCCCGCGACTCGCTGCTGCAGCCGCCATCTCCCCTAGTGCCTAACTCCCCGCCCTAGGACTTCCGGCCAAGTTTTCCAATCTGACCAATCGCGGCCCTGCCAGTTCCCGCGATAGTTAGATGTCGTACGGGGGGGGCGGGGTAAAGTTTAGCCAATGTCTTAAAAGCATTGTAGAAGGCGAGTTCCGCTTATTTCCAATTTCTCCGCGAGTGGGCGGAGGCGGAAGGGCTGCGGAGCGCAAAGCACTGTGGGATTGTTCCTGAGGTGCATCGTGGGAAAAATCTTGTCCTGGTTGTGTTGTCTTTGGAGCTTCAGTTCCTGCTGGCGTTGAAACACCGCAGACGAAATGCCAGAGCGAGACAGTAAGGCTCGGGTCATTTGTCCTTTATTACCTACAGGACTTGGGACACTGGAGTGTTGTTTTCGCTTCAGAGTTTAAGCACTGTGCGGGTGGTGGAAATCTGGCGAAGCCCTTTGGTATCAAATGAAGCCGGGCAGCTCCGGACTATTGTCTCTAAGCTTTGTCCTAGCCCCAAGTGACGACGGGTGTGTATTGTCTGTGAAGTAGCACCTACCGCCCGCACTGAATCTTGGGTCGCGCCAGTTTATCTTAATCGCAGCATCTTGGATGTCATTTTCCGGAAGTATTTGTTGATCCTCCAGCGCCGGTTTAGGGGCCCCCTCCTTTGCACCAAGAGTTCCTTGTATTTTCTCACTTGGGTACTTACTACTTTGTGTGGTCACTGTTGCTGCTTTTGCCTTTCTTCCTCACTAGAATGGGAGCAGTTTGACGTGAAAACATCAGTATTGTTCACTAATATAGTCCCAACTTTTGCACAGGAACTGACACGAAATAGATTTATTAAATTAATGCCAGGGGTTTTTGTTTGCTTATTTATTTATTTACTTATTTTAAGGCGAGCCTTTCTCCAACCCTTTGGCTCCAGATGGCCACGATGTGGATGATCCTCACTCCTTCCACCAGTGAGTATTTCAATATAGGACTAAGTGTATGAACTGGGGATGAATAGAGTGGTGTGGAAATGGTGAAGGAATTATATATGTCTTGTCAACAAGGATGGTGAAAAAAAATTGTACCTCATGAGCCTTTATCTCTGAACTTTAGCTGGATAAGGTCGACTGCATGAGAATATTAGAGGGGAAGTTCTGGCTGGGAGGGTGCGAGTTTTTAAAATTAATGTTTAATTATACATGATACAGGAATTCATCCTTGTAGAAAATTAAAGTAGAAGTAAGAGTAATATTCTTTTTGATAACATCCCCAGTTCCAGTCCCTTTCTTGCAGGTAACCACTGTTCCTTTTCCTTCTCATATGTGTCTTTTTTCCTACTTAAAAAAAAATCCATTTATATGCATACATGTAGGTCTGAGGAAGATATATTATTATTTTGTAAGTTGAAGTATTAAAATTAAGTGACGTTGTGTTATATATTACATCATTTTGTTACTTGCTTAATTTCTCCACTCATGGTCTTAAAAATTATTTTCACGTAAGTCACAAAGACTCCCTCCCCCCCTTTTTTTAAAACACATTTATCTCAGAGAGCGAGAAAGAGTTAAGAGTGTGTGAGCAGCGGAGAGGGGCAGAAAGAGAGGGGAAGCAGACACCCCAGTGAGTGTGGAACCTGGTGCAGGCTTGATGTGCTGCACTTTGATCTCTGGACCTGGAGATCACGTCCTGAGCCAAAACCAAGCGTCAGACACTCAACCGACTGAACCACCCAGGCACCCCAAGGACTCCTGCCTTGACTAGACTTTCATCAAGCTTCTCTGGGATCCATTTTTGACAAGGCCTATTAGGTTCAGTTTAAGCAAAGAATGCTGTTAAGCCATTTTATGGAGAGTCCCCTTAAGTAATCAAATAGATCAAGTCAAGCTCCTTTTTCCCTACCCTTAATGGCTAGCCAGTTTCCTCTTAATAATTTTTTTTAAAAGATTTTGTTTATTTGACAGAGAGAGAGATCACAAGTAGGCAGAACAGCAGGTAGAGAGAGGGGGGGAAGCAGGCTCCCTGCTGAGCAGAGAGCCCGATGTCGGGCTTGATCCCAGGACCCTGAGATCATGACCTGAGCTGAAGGCAGAGGCTTAACCCACTGAGCCACCCAGGCACCCCAGTAATTTTTTTTTTTAATAAACGCCCAGTTGTTCCAGTTTGTTTTCAGAGTTGAGTTTCAGTCCTTCTCCCTATTGCAGTAGTCTTTATTCCTGTTACAGTAATCTTGAGCAGTGTCTTCCTTGGGAACACTTGGAAGGATTCTTTGGTAAAACTGGGCACAGCAGGCCAAGGAAGAGCGTCAGAAGAGGGCTCAAATGGACCCGATTAAAGTTTGGTCAAGGAGTGAAGTTTCGTCACTGTACTGATTAAAATTATCTCTTGTACCATCATTGCTCTCTGCCACACATGTGGGAAACACTCATGATCTAGTCTTTAGTTAATGGTCATTTAGGTTGTTTCCAAGTTTTTATTACTTTCAAAGCTGAAATTGTGGGGTGCCTGGGTGTCTCAGTTGGTTAGGCATTGGCCTTTGGCTCAGGTCATGATCCCAGGGTCCTGGGATCAAGCCCCATG